TCCATATTTTGAGGGCTAGCTCGTCACACAAGACCTGTTTAAAACTTTTATCTGTTAGCAAAATATCTCATCACACCCTGGATAGCTAGTTGATAATGGAAAAAAACAACACTTGCTGCAATTCAATTTAAAGTTTTTTTTCATATAAACTCTTTGAAAAAAAAGATTTCAATCATTTTCTCAGCAGCAACAAACTCTGTTAACTCAATAAGACGTGCAGCTTTTTCTAATGCCCAACAAAAACATAAAAATAGTTCCTTCATGAAAACAAACAACCCAGAGAAGCACAATGAGAGCAAAAACAAACCATTAAAATGAACGTTTACAGACTGGGATTCACAGTTTCCTTCAGAGATGAGAGAAAAGTGTCTGTTTTTAGTTTAAAAAAAAAACGGAGGTTTGTCTTTGTGAAGTTCTGTTTTCTGAAAGACGAGATTGTTCTTCCAAAGTCTCAGCGAGTCAAAAGTACCTCCAGACAAAGTTTGTTTATCTCCTCATTACGGATGTGAAGCGCGTCTCCCAGCGGCGGAGCCACGTTTCAGGTGCCGCACAGAGTTTATCTTGTTCGGCAACAGAGCGCCGCTTGTGACAAACTGCAAACTTTTCAACCAAGTTGGAGAAAAGGCTCTTTGATAGCAGCATCCTGAGAGCGCAGCCTTCCTTCCTCAGACCAGGTGGGCGCCATTGAGAGGGAAATGTCTCCTCTGAGGGTGAAAGTTTGGGGCTGTAACTCATGAAAACAAGGCGGGCTGCTGAGCGGCTTTTTTTTTTTTTTTTTTGGAGCTTCATGAATAATTCGTCAGCGTCGGTCGTCACTGTCCTTGTTGTTGTTGTTGTTGTTGTGGTGTCAGTCCTGTCTGAGGAGACAGAGGACTCCTTACACTTGGCTCTCCTCTTCACTTCCTCTTTCTTCAGCAGACGGAGGAAGTGCCGAGCTGTTTGTGTCGGAGACAGACGGAGGAAAATCGCGGCTGCCTGTCGAGTATAACGGCCTGTTTGTGCTGCCGTAACACGTCTGAGTGAAGGACGAGAAAGGGACAAAAAAAGGCTGTGGGAGTTTATTTTTGTCAACAGCTTTAAAATAAAAATATTAGTAAAACGTGTCGTTTTGTTAGACAAACTCTGCACTTGTTTTTTCAAAGCTGCACAAAAAAATAAGGCCTAAAATGGGTGAGTTTTCATACTGTATGTTGAGAGATATTTCATAGTAATGTTCATAGAGTATGTTTCGGGAAAGATTCTCAGCTACCAACACAAAGAAATTTAGATTAATATTTGTAAAATTTACTGAGTTATAATCATTTTGTGTTGGCCGTGGCAGCCATCTTGACTGGGTCGACTCTTAAAAGTTATTTACCAGGTGTAGCTAAGATTTGTTTCCTTGAGAGTTTCACTGTAAGATATTTTGCTAACACAACAGAAAAACAAAGACTCGGTTTACATACAGCGGGTAAAATAAGTACTGAACACGTCACCATTTTTCTCAGTAAATATATTACTAGAGGTGCTAATGACATGAAAT